GCGCCCATGGCCTGCCAAGTTTCTGTGGATAAGTTTGCTGCTAACCTTATTTGTCTTGTTTTGTAAATCAGGGATTTCTTTTCCTTTGCTGCTCTCAGGATGTTTTCCTTATCTCTGTATTTTATAAATTTTACTAAGATACATCTTGGTGTTGGTCTGCTTTTGTTAATTTTGATGGGGGTTCTCTGTGCCTTCTGGATTTGGACGTCTGTTTTCTTCCCCAGATTAGGGAAGTTTTCAAAATAATTTCCTCAAATAAACCTTCTGCACCTTCTTCTGGGACTCCTATGGTACAAATATTATTATGCTTTATGGAGTCGCTGAGCTCCCTAAGTCTACATTCGTGATTCAATATTTTTCTTTCCCTCTTCTTTTCAGCTTCATTATTTTCCATAATTTTACCTTCTATATCACTTACTCATTCTTCTGCTTCTTTCACCTTTGTGGTCATTACATCCAGTTGGTTTTGCATCTCAGTTATAGCATTTTTTATTTTGACCTGACTAGTTTTTAGGTCTTTTATCTCTGTAGTAAGGGACTCCCTGGTGTCTTCTATGCTTTTACCAAGCCCAGCTAGTTCCTTATGATTGTTGTTTTAAATTCTGGTTCAGGTATCTTATTTAGATCTGTTTCAATTAGATCCCTGGCTGTGACCTTTTCTTGTTCTTTCTTTTGGGATGAATTCCTCCATCTTGGCATTTTTGTCTAGGTCTCTGTCTTCTGTGTGTTAGGAAAGGCTGTGATAGTCTCTGCTCCTGAGAGTAATGACTATATTAAGAAGAGGTCATATACTGTCCATGGCCTGGCATTTCGGGAAGTGTCTCTGGTGTATGCTGTGTGCACTCTGCTTTTGTGTTTTGGCTGCTCTTTCCCTCTGGTCGGTCCTGTGCAGAGTTTCTCCTTGCCTACTGTGGGGAGAGTTTGGACCTTGTCCAGTGTGTAGCAAGTTTTAATTAGGTGTGTTTTGGTCTGCTTGTTAAAAGAGGCTAGATCCTATTTCCACTAGAGCAGAAGGGGAACTGTCTCTCCCAGTGTGACCCAGGGGATCCTCAAACCACACTGTCCTGGGCCTCTGCCCTCTTCCTTCACAGGAGCACCAATATGCCTGCCAAGCTCAATGGACTTCTAAAACTTCAGTCTTTGAGTTGCATTGCTTGTAAAACTTGTAATAATCAGCCCCTCTCATTTTCCCAGTGAATGGTGTTGGGGAAGCATTTTTCTTGTGCAATCCCCTGCATGCTTCCTGTTTGCTCTTGTGTGTGCATTCTCTCTCTCTTCCACCTCCCTCCATGATCAGGGCTCCCTCCCCTCTGCAGCACCCGCTATTCTTTTCTCCCCCAAATCATGTCTCCGCACCTCCTACCTTCCACTATGTGGCCTCTTTTCTCCCTCTAGTTTGTGCAGTTGGTTCTCTCAGTCCTCAGATTAATTTCTTGGGTGTTCAGAGTGATTTGATATTTATCTAGCTGTGTTCAAGGGACAAGGCAAGCATAGGATCCTGCTACTACTCTGCCATTTTAACTTTTCTTCCGCTAAATGCTATTTGTAAACTGCTTTTACTACCTGTATATGACTTTGGGCAGGTTACTTAACCCCTTTGTGCCTCAGTTAACCCAGCTATAAAACGTGGGTATGAAATGAAGGTAGCTTCTTCAAAGGTATGTTGTGAGGATTAAATGTAGTAATACATGTACGAGGCTCGGTACAGTATCTGATACATAGGAAGCCTTCACTAAGTATTTGTCGCCATTAAAATTGTTATTGATTATGTGCATTTGTTTTGGAAGCACTTACAGCACAGCACTGGGGAGGTCACTCCTCTGGGTGAGTCCCTAACTGACCATACCTTCTCAGTGAGGGCCCCTCTCTCTTCTTCTGTGCGTTCTTTAAAATGAGCTGTTTTATCTCAGGGCCTCTTCTCTCCTCAGTGCTTCTGACATTGTTGCATCTGCCACTGTGGCTTCAAGTGCCATTTAGATGGCTGACAATTCTTTTTTTTTTTAAGATTTTATTTATTTGAGAGAGAGAGCAAGCATGAGCAGGGGCAGAGAGAGAGGGAGAAGCAGACTCCCCACTGAGCAGGAAGCCTGACGTGGGGCTCAATCCCAGGACCCGGGGATCATGACCTGAGCCCAACTGACTGAGCCACCCAGGTGCCCCTAGATGGCTGACAATTCTTAAATCTGAACTCAGTATGTCCTAAACTGGACTCATTCCCTGCCCTTCCCTCCCGTCTACTTATTCCTTTCCCTATGATCCATGTTATCTTGGTGAATGGCACATTCACCTTGCTGATCAAACCAGAAACTTGGGCACCATACACAATTCCTTTTTCTTCCTCCCCTCTCATACCCAATCAATCATTAAGTCCTACCAATTCTAAAACTGAACTACCTATCAAATCTATACTCTTCTCTCCATTTCCACTACTTCTTTTCCAGCGTTTAACCCCTTGCTGTTAATGCAACCTCCTAATTGTTTCTTTTGCTCCCTCCTCAATCTGTTCACCACCCAGCTGCTAGAGTGATTGTTTAATCTGATTCGTCACTTTCTTACTTTTCAATGGCAATCCACTCTTCTTAGGATAAGGTCTAAACTCTTAAATATGTCCTGTAAAGGGATATATGATTTAGGCTCTGTGTACCTCTCTGGCTTATGTCCTACCATCGTTAGCAGCCTCATTTCCCTTTCCAAAATGGTATCTATCCTCTTTGTTTATACATCTGCATGCTGGTCTTTGCTTCATCTTTCCTGACTCAACTGACCTCCCACTCCTCTACTTCTACGCAAGCTTTCCTACCATGCTCTCTGAAATTCTCTTTCCACAGTACACATCTTTAACCTATTCATTGTATGTGTAGTCTTGCCTTATCCCAAACCTGGATCTCTCTACAAAGAGTACTGGTACCTCTGCAGACTTCTGAAATGGAGGTTATTCATTTTTTTCTACTTCAATGCTAATTCCAGACCTTTACTCTTCTAACCTCTTATAAAAATCTCCATGTCTTTGAGGCTAATGCCATCCAGCCAGGCCACCTTGTATTTTTCTTCTTAGTGGTCATCTACCAAAGTTCCCTTTCCTCATCTTTCAGTCACTGAAGACTTTTGTACCTGGTTCACTGTCTTTCTGACAATACCCTAGCTCTCAGATCCTTGAGAACTTGCACTATCTTAACTATGCAACCTACTTCTGCTTTAGCCATCTAATTCCAGGACCACACCTGGAGCCCTGAAATCAGCTGGAACCGCTTCATCTCAAACTGCAAATCTAAACGCTTTATGACCGCAAGTTCTTTTCTGCTCTTGGACTCCTACTACACCTGTTCTTCAACCCACTGGCAGCTCTCTCTTGACTGTCCCACTTTCTTCTTTTCATCTCCCTTTTACTTTTACTATTCTATTTTCTTCTCTACTATCTTGCTTAGATTTCATGGCTCATTACTTAAAACCTCTCTTGCCCTCAACAGCCTTAACTCCCTAGTCTGTGACTCTTCTTCCACCCATATGCTAAGCAAAATCCTAAATCCAGTACCACTGCCCAGTGTTTCTATTCCTACATTTAGCCTGCAGGATGATCATCACACAATTGCACTGACTGGTGATTTTTCTTTCATGATCTACACTATCTTCTGATCTCTTAAGAGCTTCCTAGAACTCTATGTTTCTCTGGTCTGGTCTCTTTCCTTATCACAGAAGCTGTTTCAAACCTTCTTTCTCCATATGTCCTATTTTATAAAGAAAATCAAAGCTATCCAGAACAACCTGCTTCTACCTCTTGCTACTAGATTTGCAAATACCTGCATTATAAATACTCACCTGTTCTCAAATGTCTTTGCCCTTTGCAATGATGTGGATGGAACCTGAGGATATTATGCTAAGCAAAATAAGTCAATCAGAGAAAGACAAGTATCATATAATCTCACTGATATGAGGAATTTGAGAAACAAGACAGAGGATCATAGGGGAAGGGAGGGAAAAATGAAGTAAGACGAAACCAGAGAGGGAGACAAACCATAAGAGACTCTTAATATCAGGAAACAAACTGAGGGCTGCTGGAGTGGAGGGAGGTGGGAGGGATGGGGTGGCTGGGTGATGGACATTGGGAAGGGTATGTACTATGGTGAGCACTGTGAATTGTGTAAGACTGGTGAATCACAGACCTGTACCCTTGAAACAAATAATACATTATATGTTAAAAAAAAAGATAGATAAAAAAATAAATAAATACCCACCTGTTCATCCTTTCCTACTGAAAAAGCTATGCATCCTGTGGAATGCTGATCCTTCCATTTTTGCTGTGAAGACAATCCCTTCTCTCACATTTTCCAGGATTCTGTCCCATTCATACTTCCTTTATATTTTATATACTATATATTTGGTATATGATATATATATAATAATTATATTGTATTATATATCTCTCCCTCTCATCGATAAGAAGTGTGCTCAAGTCTCTTCATCTAACATTAACCAACATTCCCCTGGCCTTTTGTGTCTGCCCTCAGCTACTGACCTTTAAATCCCTTTGCTCACATCTATGTCTCTCAAGTGGCCTGAACTCAATTTTCTCTTTCCCTAACACTTTCTCCTCTTGGCTTTTGTGATAACATTCTCCTGATTCTCCTCCACTTCTCTGATCACTCTGCCCTAGTCTCTTTCATGAGCACTGCTTCCTCTTCTACTCCCTTAAATGTTGGGTGTTCCTCTGGATCTCTGAGGTCTTCTCTTGCCACATTCCTCCTCCCCAGGCTTTAATTAAAATTGATGTTTTAATAATTAAATTGTAATCTCTCAGAGAATTTGAGAAAGTTATTTCTTACTTAATGAGTATTTTATTATGATTTAAAAACATCTATTAAAGAACACGGCATTAAAACATTTTCTACATTGGTTCTCTACTGTATATTCTCTACTATATGGTTGCAGACCTCAAAACAGTTCCTTAACAATACCCTGGTTAAATAAAACAAGTAAACAGAAATTTAACAAATCAAAATTACCTTTATCGCCAAGGTCTCTAAAAAAGGTTGATCCACAATGAGCTGGTTGGATTCCTGCCAGTATATCCTCGATATCCTTTGAATACACATTAAAATCTTTAAATTTAACTTATAAAAGTTCATTTTCTATGTCACCAAAAAAACAAAAAGAAAGGAAGAAAGAACTCTCTCCCCCACATACTGCTTACCTTTTTTGTCAGCTTCTTCACTGAAGTTTTACCTACAGCAAAGAAGAAACTATTTATTATTCATATTCCTTGGTAAAATTCAACTTCCACAAAGAAAGAAAATCATTTAAAAGACAAAACAAACAACTAAATATTTATAAGAAAATAAAGCCTTGGCAATTTTGCTAATATCTTTAAACCAAAATTAAGAGCCAGAGAATTCTAAGTCTAAGCACAAAGACACTATGGGTTTTTATAAGACCTACTTATCAATTTCACTCACCCTATTTCAGACATATAAAATCTTATCACCATTTTTTACTTCTCTTAGTTGTCTGCATCAGAAATAAATCCTGCATCATAAATAAATAGTTGTCAAATGATTTAAAAAATCTTTTTGCTTTCACTGATTAAAAGAACACACATTCATCTTTTAGAAAGCTACCTTTTTGAACCCTGAGAAGTTCTCGTTAGTTTACAGCTCTCTAAGCAAATTTAAAAGTCTAGCCAACATGACTATACATTCTAAAGTTATTTTTAATAATTTGCTATTGGATAACAGAGATTTATAATTCTTTCAGGTGTTTAGCCATCCTCTTTATTGCCTGCATCATTTTCCTTTTATCCACTATAATTCTAAAACAATCAGTTGCTTCTTTTGTTGAGGCTTATTCTGATTATAGCCTCACATCATTTACACATCTAGAATACTGAAAAATGTTTTACGTTGTTTCTTATATAAGCCATATGCATCACAAACTTCCCCTTCTGCTCTCAAGATTATCTCATCTATAAAGTTCCTTCAGTACCATTACACGGTCTCTGCAAGTTCAGGCGACAGGTTAAAAAAAAAATGAATACTTTTAGATATGCCTTTTCAATACTTTAGGATGTTCAATTTGGACAATAAATCTACTGGGGACAAATTCTATCATTTGCTGTTAATAAACTGTCAAGATTTTAGTTTTGCATTATTAATGAAAACAGTAGTTGCGAATATGACTATGTCATTTTTAGAAACATCTGTAACGATGTTTATAAACTTAGGTGTTACTATTTTGGAATAATTTTAAACTATGTGCCACTCAATGATAAAGAACCCTAGATTCTAATGTTAGGTGCTAATATATCCTTAGATCAAATAGACAAAAGTTATCATTTAAATTACAAACCTAAGGGTTTATGTGAATGTGTATACAGAAATATGTGGTAATACGATGGTAATAACAAACGCCAGAAAACTATGTAATAGATGTATTTTATCTACCTTCGTATATTCTATTAAAGAAGTTGATCATGATTCACATACCTTTTATTGCTTTTCTTCATGTCATGTTCAAATTATTTATTATCAGAGGTACTTTTATTTTCAGACAATTAAGATTACTCCCCAAAGAGATTAACCCTTGTACCCAACTGAAAAAAGTATTCTAGGAAGTAATAATTGACATCTTGAAGGTGACAATATGAATGGTTTCTAAGTAGTAAGATTATTTCTAAGGATCTTATATTTGCTTCATACCTAGATTTCTTTTTGGTCTTCTAAAAATCTCTGTGCTTAAAAAAATCCTTCTACTTGAAACTGAGTGAGGAAAGAAGGTAGCATTTGCTTCCCTGCAGCTAGAAGTCTTGATGCCAAATACTTAAGCCAGTAAAGTTCAATACTATATGAATAAAATGCAATAATAAAGTCATGAATTAATTGATAATATAACACCAGAATCACATGTAAGAATGAAATTGTAAAACCCTATTGAGGCAGATTCCATTATCTGTCCTTCCTTTTATGTAGCCCAGTGACTGGCATTTAAATATCTGTTGAATAACTGAATAAAAATTAGAAAAGATTCCAGAATGTCTTATTATTCAGATCCTTGCCTTTAAGTGGCTAATAATTTATTATCCTCATTTTATAAATAAAACAAATAAGACTGACTGATGGGCAAGAGGAATTAGGTCATAATATGGGCACTGGAGGATTCTTCTTCTCATCCAGATTTTTCAAAAACAGGTGTCAGTTCCATTAAAGTAGTTATTGGGAACCACTCTCAACACTTCAGGAAACTTCACAGAACTGAATGATAAGCACTGGTTATTTCATGTTGATTACAAGTTCTGCTTGGTACCTGAATACGTATTTGATTATCAAAAATGGAGAAACTGTGTACCTAATGAGCTTCTCTTGTAAAAAATATTTTTTTCAAAATGGAATCAATAATTAGAAAATGACAAAGAAATTACTTTAGCTGACAAAAAGAGGTCATTTTCTTATATAAAATTTTTAGATTAAAAAAAAAAGTCATTGTTACAGGGGTGAACATCTAATTTCACTTGTTTCCCCTTTCTCCTAAGTTAACAAACTTTTCCTTGAGTAAGAGAAGGGGTTGTAGTGTTTCAAACCCAGAACACCAGGGTAGGGGGTGTCTCACCCAGACGTGCCTACTTGTATACCACTTGTTCATGCACTGTACCAAAGAGACCACAAATCAAAGTAAGAGGTCATGGTCTGATCTGTGGTATGATGAGCCATAACCTTTGTTCCTCTGACAGCAATTACAACATCAGGACATATTAAATATACCCAAATAGTTTTGCCACATTTTTCTATTTAAGAACGGAACCCAACTGTACGTAATCTAAATTTTTTGTGTGTGTTTGTTTGGACTGTCTGGGTTTTTTGGGAGGGAGGGGAAAACTCCTGCTTTTCTTTCTTTGGTTATTTCTATTTTCACACACATAAAAAACCCAGTCTTTTTATATGCATAGCTATTTCATATATATTTGTGTACTCATATACGGAAATAACAGAATGGGGGAAAGAACTTAACAGCAAAAAGATAGAGCTAGAGTTGAGGCTGTAATGTTTTACTGTATGAGCATGAAGAATGGAAAATACATTGTGGTTTTTCTTGGCAGGGGAAGGCACAGATCTTGAAGATCTATGAAGCACTACAGTGGAATTCTGGCTCAGGAAGTAGAATGTTTTTAAAGGTCTCCACCTCTTGTAGAGATTCCACCATGTGGCTTTCCCTGTTTACAGAGGATTTCTGAAGTAAAAATCAGGAACAAGCACATCTTTTTACAGGCAAACAGCCATTTTAATACTTAAAATAAATAAAACTGCATTAATACATATTAAGTATTGTTACAGGTCAAATAAATCTTTACCTCTAGCTAAAATAGTTATTTGATGATTTTAACTATAAGAACATTATTAATGGTATGTAATTCAATTTCATTTTGCTGTAGGTAAGTGAACTTTGATACATAACAATTAAACAGAGACAATGACATCATTTTATATCTTTTGCATGAATATATGGAACAACTTGGCATCAATGTTAGAATTAGAATGAGACAGAGCTAGTTAGAATTTGTGTAAGACAGAGCTAGTTACTCCAATACTTGCTTGAACTCAGTCACAGCTATTATGGAAACTGAGGGAGAAAATGACACATTAGCAAAACAAACTTCCTAATATCACTAATAAAAATGATAACTGAAGGCAAAAAAAGGAGGGCAAATTAAATGGTGCTATTTTCCTTCAACAAAGCATGTGGCTTGCTTATTTCTGCTGGAATATTTAAATAGAGCAAGAGATATCCTCTGGTTGGTATTTCTTCTAGAAGGAGACAAATAGTGATCTCCTACAATGTTTGAAAGTGGCCTACTTGTCCACTTTGCTAAACTGCTCTTCAAATACATTTAAATTATTTTTGAAGGGAAAACAAATGACTTTTTTTTTTTGCAACCTCAAATACTGTGAAATAATTAAGAACATTATACACAACAAATTAATTACAGTTTAACAGCTGATATAAAGGGGGAAATACAGCAGCTAAGAAACTAAATAATGGGGAGAGGGGAAGACAGGGAAAGCTTCAAATAAGATATGCTGAAGTGAAAATCTGAAGGATTAGCATGAATTAGCTCAGAGAAGTGGGGTTAAAAGCATTCTGGGAACAGCATGTGCAGTACTGAGACAGGGAGAGTTGGAACACTAGGAACACAGAGTAGGGCCTGTCAGTCACTTCTATTGTGATGAGGAGGGAGAGGGAGAGTGGTAGTTTTGGTGGCAGGAAGCTGAGGTAATTGCTATCTAAAGACTTCTATTTTCCCTTTGAGTAGGTGATCAGATAGTCTGCTAGAACATGTAGGAGAAAGTGTAAGAAACTTAGCATGATGCATCAGAGATTGCTAGTATAAAGAAAAACAACTGATTTTCATATAGAGATGTGCAATAACCTGACCCTGATAATTCACTTAATATTAGTAGTTTTATTATTTGTAGATGCTTTGGGATTTTCTACATAGATAACATGTCTCTGACCAAATACAGCTTTAGCTCTTCCTTTTAAATCTATAGGTCTCATTTTTTTCCTTGCCTTTTGGCACTGGCTAGGACACTTCCAGTACAGTGTTGAATATAAAAGTTAAGAATGGAGAGCCTTGCCTAGTTCTTGATCTTGAGGGCAAAGCAGTCAAACTTTCACCATTAAAAATGGTATTAGCAACTGGCTTTATGTCCATAAGGCCTTTTAGGACTTAGCCTCAAAAGTGCCATATTGTCATTTCCACTCATGTTTTGTGAATTGAAGCAGTTACAAAGTTTCAAGGGGAAGGGACATAGGCTCCACCTCTTGCTGGCAAAACTGTGGGAGAGTATATAGGGCCAGAAATAGTATTGCAGCCATTTTTGGAAATACTATCTGCTACAGCACCTTAACTGATTTATCACCTCATGTGCAATATGATCTTGTGTTCTTTACCAAAGGGAATTCTATCCATTCTTCTCATACCTTCTGTTAAGTCCTGATTACTCCAGCCCTTACTGACCTTTCCAATTAAACTTTACCACACTGAAGACCATCTATTACCCACTCTTGTACTAGATCGTAAATTCTACTAATACAACAATATCTGTTTTATACACCACTATATCCCAATGCCCAACACAGTGCCTGTGGGTTTTAAACCTGTTCTTCTCACACAGGAAAATGCATACTCCCCAGTTGGGGATGGGTTGGTGATGAGCCAGGGGACACGGAAGTCT